ACTAATGAAATAACTTTAGCAAATCAAGTAGGAAATTAATAAAAATATAAGTAATAAATAGAGGGTCTTTTTTGCTAGCTTTTTTTTTCACATTACTCCAACCTGATCAAAATAAAACGGATAATGGCCCGGTATGGAGCAATTTAATCGAGCTTTTACAAACGATGTCCATTCATTCGAATAAGGCCTTGGACCACCATTATCTGATCGACAGAGCCTAGCAATACGAGAGTAGATAGCACCATCATTACATGATTCATGTTCAACTGCTTGTTCACGAAGCCAAATGTACACATACTAAAAATTTAAAATATATTATTTCAATTAATTATTTTTATTGCTGATACGATAAAGTTATAATAGATTAAACAACAACTGTTTAAAGAAATTTTTTTTTAAAATTAACAATCAATTATTTCTCTCAAATTCCTTTCAATTTAACACCTTTTTCTTTTATTTTAATTTGTTACTGTAAGCATTTGAAATTTATTATCATAAACTTCTTTTTCTCTTACAAATAGCATATTTGAAATTTGATTGAAGAAGTATTTAGTTGTCTGACATACAAATAATTGATTCATTCAACGGTAATTGCTTGAATGAAATCAACAACAAATTGTTTTATTGTAGTAACGGTAATTTTATTAAAGATTATTTTCAAATAAATTCTTATTTTCAACCATCATCTTTAAGAGAAAATGTTTTTGAAAAGAAAGAAATCTTCGTTTCAATCATAAATATCGGAAGTACAGAAAAAAAGTTTCATTGAACAAGAAATCATCGACCGCAGAAATAATCATGCATTATATTATGTATCATCGTATCATTATGCGATTATTACAGTACTGGATTATTGTTAATTATTATCATTTTCATAGTATTATTATATATTAAAGTATTGTATTATAGTATTACAAAAAAAGTATTGTATTGTATTGCAGTTATAAAAATGTATTTCAACGGTTAAATCTAAAAACATGAGACATATATCATAATAGCGATATTGATTATGATAATAACAATAATTAATGATAACAGTGATAAGTAATAATAATAATGAAATAATAACGAGGATAATAATATTAGTGCAATAATAAGAATGATATTAGCAGGAGTATTGATTTTAATTTAATATAAAATAAATAATAATATAAATAGTGATAATGACAGGAATCATATTAATAACAGTACTGATTTTAATTCAAACGAATGAAAAAATTTTCTTATTTAGCAGGTTGCTGCAAAATTTCAATACTTTTCCGGAAAAATGATTTCATGCTTATTATAACTACTGCCTTACCGTATTTTTTGAAATATTTTACTAATTTTAAGAAGAAATCGAAAGCTTCATTGTTATTATGATACTAAAGTGCTTCATTTTAATACATTTCCATTTAAAATCTTAATCGGAAATTTCTAATATTTGTAAAATTTTACTAAATTCAGTATTCAATTATCAGCACTATATCAAAACATTTAAATTATGAAGTTGTTAGTTAGTATAACAAAGTGTTTTCTTTAATGACAATTTCTTTTTTTATTTTACTCCACTTTTTATTTTTATTTAAATTAATATCATAAGTGAACAAATGAAACTTATAAAATTTATCAAAGCTTCTAAAAAACAAAAAAGGAGCAGATAAAGCAAAAAAAAAATGCTTTTTTATCCTTTTTTTTTTGAGACATTTTATTGCTTGATTTTTATTTTTCGGAAAATTATTGTTTGTTAATTAAATCAGCAAGAGATTACAAAATTATTGCTATTTCAAAAACTGAAAAATAAAAAAGTTATTTGGAAGAAAAAAAATTTTATACTTTTTTTGTTCTTTTCTTCCATTCTTACCACCATCTTTCCTTTAGTTTATCAAACAGAGAAAGAATCCGTGTTACAGTTACGATGAATGAAAGAAAAGAAATAGCAAAATGAATCGAAAAACCGGTTTCCCCTCCAGAAATCCTCATTGTCTAACAAAATCGAAGTATTATTATCCCTTTTTTTTTCAACATTGCTTCCATCCATTTTGTTATTTTAGTTGAAACGAAAAACGAACAACAAACGATGAAATGAAGAAAAAGATATGATAATTTCGTGTACGAAAAGAGAATAACGGTTAATTTTATTTGCTCATTTTTTAAACCCTCTCCCAAAAAAAAAAAAAAAAAAAATCATTTTGAAAATAAATTAAGAATGTTTTGTGGAAAATTATCCGAAAGTTGTATTAGTGCAAGTTTTTCGATTTTACATCAGAAGAAAAGAGAGTGATAAAAGATGTGAGCAATTGAATGATGCAAAATGACGTGAATGAAAAATGCACAGAATTTGTTCAAATTTATTCATCTTGCAAAACTTACTTTACTATCTCGAAATGAACCAACAAAATGTGGTTCATTCAAAAATTTGATATCATTTCGTTCCGTACGGATACCCAAATCAAGAATTTTTGTAATATTTCGTCGATGTATCAATGGATCAGCACCGGAAAAGTCTGATACTGTAATATATTTAATGAATTAATGAATCGAATTAATTGTTTAATTCATTGAAAAGTTACAATCTAGATTAGGCGATATTTGATTTTGAAGCAGTAATAAAAATCATTTGAAAAATTAGTTAAAATTATTGGAGTTCAGAAAATGATTCAAATTTGAAATTAATTTTGGACCATTGATATTCATTAAAATTATTAGATTAAATGCAGGGAATCATTAAAATTATTAGATTAAATGCAGAGAATATTAAAAATTTTATTAAGTTTATAAAAACGATCAATAATTCCATTTTTCTTTATTGCAGTACATTATAATAATTATGCAAATATCCAACTGATTTATAATTTAAAAAAGACAACACATCCAAAGTTTAATATAAAATTAACATTCATTTCACAATCTTAAACTATTAACTGCAATTCAATTTTCATAAAATATTATATTTTAAGTTATTGTTAACTTTAATATGTTAAATTTTATAATCAAACATGACAATTTATTGTTTATTGCTTCATGTTAAAATGTTTTTGAAGTATGCAGAAAGAAATGAAATGAATTTAAATAAAGAATTAATTGCTGTTCAAGTTATTTTATTCAGTTATGAATGATAATTTTTCCATCATATTTCTTGATTTGAATAATTTTTTAAAACAAATATTTCATATTCATTATTCATTGGTAATCATTCAAGTCACTTCCTATGTTAACATTAAATTTCTAATTTGATAGTAAATTTAATACAAAATTATTCCAACATTCATTTAATCATTTTACTTTTCTTTGCTTTTCTTGATATTTTTGATGTGATATTCGAAATGTTATTATTATTATTTTTTGGATATTCGAGGAAGTTCAATTTTAATGATATCTTTGATCTTTGAAGGACGTCAAAGAAGATACGAATGTTATGAAAAAACGCGAAATGGTAGTATTTAGCGTTCCGTTTTTCTATTCAACTGCTTTTTTTTCAGCTCTTTTTTTTGAAATGAAATTTAAATAAAATGAGAGATATGAAAAGAAAAGTTAATTAATTCATAAACTAAAAAAAATTTTATAATTAAATTTTTTGATTAGAACGATTTATTGATTAGTTTACGATAATTAATTTTATTTTACGATGGTAATTTTCAACACTTCCATCTAACTTACTTGTAAAGTTAAAAATGCAAACACTTTTAATCTATTAAGAAATAATATTGTTGATGGAAGTGTATTTCATTCTTTCGTTAATGACTAAATGGAATGAGTGACCATTTATTTCCTCGTTAGTTGACCTTTGTACAAATGAACTGTTTAGGTGGGAAACAAAAATGAACATTTTGAAGAGGAATCAAATTTTGGTGGTAAAAAATGGAAATTTAATTCAACATATCGAAATTAATATTTTTAATAAAATTGCCCATGAAAATTTAGAAAAATTGTCTAAAATGAACTATTACTATCTTTTTCCTCTTTTAGTGATAATTCGTGAATTTTAATAATTTGCAAAAAAAAAATTGTGCAAGTTGATGTTAATAAATTTTTAAAATTTATCCAAATTTAAAGGAGAAATTTGAATTTTTTACTCCCCACAGGAAATTGTTCATGAAAAGATGGAATTGTTGGGCACGTTAAAACTATCGCTATTTTTATTTGTGAAATTTTAGAAATAATTCTAAAATTTATTATATTTTTGATCTAACTTTTTTGTTGTACTGAGATTTGGCGGAAAAATTGATTGATCATGAAAGAAATAGATTATAATAAATTTGCTAATTCTTTAATTGTGTGATTTCAATTACTTTAATTTTCACAAATTTAAAATATTATAATTTGCTTTTTCTCTTTTTTCAATGGTTTACAATTAAAGATTGTGTATGCTTAGTGATAAATGCAAACATTAAAGCTAAAACAAACATTTACTTTTTTTCGTAACAATTATTAAATTTGAAATTTGGAAAAAAAGATAAATTACAATTTCAAATTCAAAATTTCATCGAATGAAAATTTGATCATTTCAAAAATAATTCCCATAATTAATTATTTGATTTAAAGTGAGGAAAAATTTTTTTCGATCGTTTGTCGGTTAATCAACTACGAATGAATGGAAAAATGCCGAAAGGATGGGAACTATGTTGTCGTTTGGAATAAAGGGAAAGTTGACGTGTGATGACAGTAATTTAGTTCATTTCGTTAACATTCCGAAATTTATGCGAAATTTCGAAGGTCATACGACATATGATAATTGGACAGAATGTGTTGGATAAAATTGATCAATAAGAGTTATACCAAAAATATATTAAAAATTATCCAAAAGAAGATTGTTAAAGATATCAAAATTTTATTTTCATTTTCAATTTTCTTTTAATTTGATAAAAAGAATAGGAATTGATAAGTCTTTTAGATGAAGTAATGGTAATTTTAATAGCGAAATAAATCGTAATTTTACTCAAATTTATTTTTTATAAGTAATTTATAAAAAATTGTTAAGAGTATGATGAGAAATTATTAAAACTGTTCATGCAGCAAAATTTTTGTTGGATATCATCAATTCAATTATTATATCGGTAGAATATGCATGTTTTCTAGAAACTAAGATTAGCCTGAAAATGATTTTTGAACATTAATTACTGAAAGTAATGTTACCTGTTCCAGCATACAATAGATCACCATCTCGAAGAAATGTTGAATTATGATTTGGATCATAAGGTGCAATACCGAGTCCAGAAAATTCTAAACTCTGTCTGTAATCACCGTATTTTTCACTTTCATATTTTCGGCATATCGGTTGAAATGCATTCGTACCACAAATCAGAATACTTTGATCGTCATCTTTAGCCAGAATACGTACATAATTATGGCACGCTTCCTCAAATATATATTTGTA